TATATATATATGGATACAGATAGTGAAGCAGCAACAACCATTAGTTTGTTTAGTGCTGTTAGGGGAAAATTTTGGTTGTGTTTCTGTAGCTGATTTATTTCTTTTTGTAATATTTAACTAAAAGTCACATTGTTGAAGAGGAAGGAAGCTTAATACAGTTTTTCTTTCATAAATTATTGTTTGAGAAGGAAAAAAGTACATCTAACAAAAACGCAATACGGAGTACAGAAAAAATTTATGCTTTTCTCTTTTTGATTTTTTCTTTTTTTCCTTTACTGTTTGAAATATTTGAATAGTGTTTGGCCGTTTCTAACAGTATGCATATTTTACGTTAAGACCATCATTATTGTTGCAGCACAGTAGCGGCAAATTTTGCAGCGTAATAATATATCTCTGTCTAGCTTTTTTTCTTCTATGAATAAGTAGCTACTTGTGTTATACAGAAATCAACATCTTAGTAGCTGACTACAAACAGAAATCTGTAGTATGCACGTGAGTCACAGTCTTTTTACGTATAAATTCAGCAAATGAAAAATGCAGGACGATAAAGGTATTCTTGTCGTCATGAAACTAAGGAAGTTAAATTTTTTTCTTTTCAAATTGAACAACAGTCTGAAAAATGTTAGGTGGAAAAACCATTGTTCAGTTACATTTTTGTGTTATTTGGCAGCGGGCAAATTTACCACATTGACCACTACTCCCCACTGTCAAAGTATGCGAAAATTATTGATAGATTTAGAAGTCTTCGAAAAGAACAAAAACGAAGCTGAAGAAAACCAAGAAAAAAGAAAACAGAAATTACTGGAAAATTGAAATTGAGCTGCGCTTATGTTAAATTTGTGAAAAGAAAAGTGTGTAAAATGAAATGTAAACGTTTTCAAAAATATAATTTTTTTATTTCAATTCAATTTGTTGATAGTTTTCTCTACTGCGGTTTTTATCATCATTTTTTTCACTAAAGCAGCCATCGTCATTACCACAGCTATGGTCATCTATTTCTCCACCGATGAGCTGACTACATTTCACTGATAAGCTTAGGCATAAGGTCCGTTTTATTGATTATCAGTGCTTTGCTGAGCATAGAGATAAAAGCATTACTGATTACTACAGTGGATTTGAATGAGAAGAAAAGGGCTTGAGGAGGTAGGAACAGCAAGAATATTATCCAATTCAGCAGTTCGTTGCCAACAGTAGATTTATAAGCTTTTTTGATAGTACTCATTGGTCAATTATGGTAATACTGATGCGACTAATCTTTATGCGGTAAAAGCTGTTCTCCAATGCATGGTCATATGGATTTTTGAACTTTCAGAAGCAACGGTAGCAAGGAATTCAGTCGACTTACTGTTTTTCATTTTTTACTTTCTGTTTTAGATTTTTCTATGTATCCTGATAAAAGGCAGCTTGAAAGCTAACAGAAAAACATTGGAGTTTTTCTGGCTTTTAATTTGTTGTTAGATTAACGACAGCGTTAAAGTGCTGTCGAGTTAGGGCACTAAAAGTGCTCAATCAATTCATGTTTTCTTCTTTGTTTTCTGTTTTGTTCTTGCCAGAGATTACCAAAAAAAGTGCTATTACAAATACACTTAAGCAATTTTTTGTTTGTTTGCTTTGACATACATAAATCGATGGTGCTGGTGAATTCTAACTCTTTAAAAAGAACCTATCTAGAACGCGGATAAATGATCAGAGACAAAGAGAATGGGTTAAGCGAGGGGAATTTTTTTAGTTTTAAGGAGACAAAAAGGAGAAAACCTACTGTTCACTTAATTTGACGTTACTATTATCAATGTTGTCACTTTTTTGAGTGTCCAAAATTTAGAGGTATACTGTAGTGTACGGAAAGTTGCTTTTTCCTCTTCAACCCATTTTTTCCATTACCTCTTCCTCTCCGTCTTTCCCTCATTTGAAACTGCGTTTAGCTTTTTTTTTAGAGGTTTTAGCTCCAATTCTTCGTTTGTTAATGGTTTGCTGTTGTCTGTTGCAGCTTCTAGTAGAGGTGAAAAACGTCAAAGAACTGCTTATACACGGAATCAGGTGCTGGAATTGGAAAAGGAATTTCATTTCAACAAATATTTGACTCGAAAACGTCGAATCGAAATTGCTAATTCGTTATTGCTGAGTGAACGGCAGGTAATTTTTAGCTTTAATAGTGGTTAATCTAGCATGTTTTTTTATTATCTTTTTTTCGTTTAAACTGAAGTTTATTGTCTATTTGATCGTTTCAAGGCACACCTAATTTGATTTTTGGCAGGAATTTCATCGTGTATTTTGAGTGCCGTTTGCTGGAAATTTTCTTTCTTTTTGCTTCAAACTCGCTTTTCTTAACGAAGTATTTGTTATAACGAACATAAAAATTTAGGCAATTTTTAGCCCCACGTTTTACGTTAAGGTTATCGTCTTAAATTTTTTTTGCAGCACTTTTCGAATATTTTGAGTAAGAAAAATCAATTCAAAAAACGTTTGTTTTTAATTGGTTAAGAACTGCTCAAGTGTTTTTATTTTTTTGGACTTAACGAGTAAGCAATTAATTCTTGAAAGATTTGTTTCAAAAAATTATCAACTTAAGCTGATTATGTTTTACAACTGATAGCGGCAGTGAAGTCATTTTCTTCTAAAATGTTCGTAACAGTGAAAAAGTTACTTTATTAGTCTGTTTATTTAGGAAAATTTTTTTGTTTTTTTATTTTGTGATAAGAGGCGGAAAGGAAAAGAGAGGATGGAGAAGAGAAAAGAGGGAGGTTTGCAAAGAGAGTGCTTCTTGGTTGGCAGTAATTAATGAGTGTCTTTAAAAATTTTGTCGGTTTTTTGTTTTGGTAGTTTTTAATTAATGGATTTCACGGGAAAACTTTATCTACTTTGGCCAAAAAGATTGATGTCATTACTGTGTTAAAACGGGCGGTAGTCGGTCATTTAATCAGCCTGGGCAAAACAAAGCTTCCTAAGTTTTTGAAACCACCGAAACGTTTAGTTGGTTGTTGGATTGCTAACTGCAGAACATTTTTTTCACAAAATTCTTTATGGTTTTGAACTACGCAAGTATGATGTGGTAAAAAAACCCTGAAAAAGTGTCAAAAAATTAGTTTTTTAGTATCTATCAATTTTTGGCCATTAGAAATTTTAAAAAATGAAATTTTTTTTGCCTTACATCGTTTTTTGTAACAAACAACTCTGGAGTTGCCAAAGTTAAGGTTCTGGCATATTTCCTCTATCAGAATCTTATTTTCATTTATAAGGCGCTTGATAAGTACGTAGAGGTCTGAAATTTTATTTCTGAGTCTCCAAGTTTGCTTGGCCAATTATGCTGCAGGCCATTTGGAATGAGATTTCTGATTTTATGTCGGTAGCTTCAATTCTGACCCGTTTGAGTTTCTCATTTTCGCTGCTTCTGGCTCTTGACTCTTAATCTTTAGCAGTGAGAATTCTTGCCAAAATTACAATGTAATTGGCCAATTTTTTGGCTCGATGATAATTTGTTGTGTTATTAACGAGGACAAGATTTCAGGTGAAAATTTGGTTTCAAAATCGCCGAATGAAACACAAGAAGGAAACAAAGGAGAAGCCAACAACGCCGATGTCATTTGCAAATCCTGGACTTCCTTTTCACAATTTAACGTCATTTCCCCGTGGTTTTCTTCATTTAAATAACTATACTTGAAATAAGGGCAAATAAAAGGGAAAAGGCGATAAACGAGAGCGAAAAGAGCGGAAGCTACACCTTTTTGCTTTTTTGGGTAGATAAAGGGCTTTTTCACGTGATGGTAGTTTTTATCAGTGATTACCACTTTTCATTACTGTGTTTATCTAATTACAACCAGAAGTGAATCTCACCACCCATAGAATCTCAGAATTGAGCTTTTCATCTGTAACTGTTTTCTTTGTTTCCTATTATTATCCATCAATTTTTTTTTTTTTTTGTCTGTGTTGTTTGTACCATTGTAATATGTTCGCAGGGTTACTTTGTTTTCGCTTGCTTAAAGATTTTTAAATATTTCGAGAATAAGAGGCTAGGGGAGTCATTTTTTCTGCTCTGCGGGGTTTCTGGATAATTTTATGTTATTGTTTCTTATTATTTTTTCTGAGTATAACAACAGGATTCAAAATAACTGTTGTTGAGAGAAAACAGCATATTTGTCAATTTTTCATTACACCTGTTGTAAGTGAAAAGTCAAGGGATAACTTGGAAAATTTTTTGATAATTTTAGTTGTTTGAAAAATTTAAAATTTTTTCAAGAGGCATTGATCAGTTTTGATTAGAGGGATGTAAGTATGTGTTGTCACATAGTTGAAAATCTGTCTTTTCATCGGTTCAGATTTTTGGAGAGAAGCTTAAAACCTTATTTTCATCTTTTCTCCTCTTTGTTTTTTTGTAGATGCAAAAAAAAAAACATTTGAAGAAAGCAATTTTGTGGGTTTTATAGTAGAGGTTATTGAACTATTAGGGAATTTTGAATACGTCCACTGTTTGGATAGGTAAAACAGTGACGCACGTGTGCGAGACCGTGCCTGTGTTTATGCACTTGATTACGTTTAAAAGTCAGACTGCAAATCTGTGTTACTTCTTCATGAGTGTGAGCCAATACGCT